CATTTTGGCTAAGGTGTGTGCTGTTGCCATGGCAACGGGGCTGGTTAAAAACAAGGCTCAAAAAATGGTTTTTGTTTATTTAAAAAAAATCCAGTCGTTAGTTTTTTTCATCATTTGCCCACTACGAATTGACATTAAATCCCTTCTGTCAACACTGTTCTAATAAAATTTTGACATAGGAGATTTTCGTAATTCGCCGTAAATCGTTTTCACTGCATGTTCTGTATTATTAAAAATTCCCTATGTCAAAAGTAAGATTTTTTTGCAATAGATCATTCACGTGGTTTCTGAACTATTTTTTTGCCAAATTTCTTGAAATTCTAACGGCTGGATCGTCAGAAATCAGCAAGTTTCTGCAAAAGCAATTTTTCCAGCAGCTGCGCATGCGCTGCATTTTACTGGGTTCTTTCGGTAACGAAGAAAAAGCTGAGAAGTGCTGGGTTCTTTGCGTCGTTACCTTTTCTAACATAACTTTGTAATAAAAGACTAAAACCATCAATACACTGCGTTCAATAATAGAGAAAAATAGCAAAGATAGTGCGGGTGTTGAGTAAGTAAAATGATCGCTCTATTGACGGCATGTTTGTTTTTGCAATCCTTGTGCGCGCGCTCAATTGCATCAGCAAAAGCGCGCGCGAAAACTGTGTTCGGCCACCTTAATCGATTTAGAACAATTAAGAACATATGATCCAACAATTCAAAGCCTTAAAGGGCCGGGAAGCATAGATTTGATGAATATTCCCAGTTCCTGCAGTTTCCTGCGGGTTTCCCGAGCTTTAATAAAGTAATACTTCTATGCTTTTCAAGGAAATAATTGAAAAAGAGATTTAACTCATTTCCTTTGAAACACACCATCATATAAATTGTCAAAACTCTATCAGACTAACAAAATTTTGAGCTCCGAGCAAAAAGAAACAATCGAATATTGGTAATGGAAAGTCAAAAATTTAAATCAGGCTAATAAGTCAAGTGCAACTTACCTACCCTCGAGTAGGAATCTCCAAAGCTCTGAGAATCACACGAAACGTACAGCTTCTAACTCGCCACATATTGCAGAAGATTGCAGAACCTTTCCCACGCTTCTTGGTCAGCTGTTTTGCTTTCCATATAAGCTAACACCAATTATATCTCCAGTTCAGACTCTCTCCGGCTCGGTTGATCGCGAAGCAGGAGAGACCCTGGGCTCGACATTAATCCAGTATACCAGGGGTTTCGGAAATTTCGGTTGGAATTCAAATGGAAAGGTCCGTTTCCGTTTCTTCTGACCGCAACATTCGGAATCACCCCTGGTTAATGTAATTTTATGCGCTCCGCCTCCGACAGGTCCGATCATTGTCAACAGAAGCAAACAAGCAAAACACAGTTTTTTTTTTGTAATCCGATCGGTTTTTTTCTTTTTGGAATTCCTTCTTGACTGCAACTCTGATGAAGGTGAACAGAAGTTCACGTTCAAGTTCAAGTTTCAATTCGATATCTAATTATTATGAGAACGCTATTACCTTTTTAAGTTTTTTAATTTTTTAAACATTTCAGCGTATCCTTTAAAGTAGTTAGTTTTTTATAGATATATATTATTTACACATGCTCTCTATTTATATATTGACTGAAGGGGTCACCCTGTTTAAATATCGATTATTATTATTATTATTATTATTATTATTATTATTATTATTATTATTATTATTATTATTATTATTAGAAGCCACCCAGTATTTAAAAAGAAAAGAAAAAACAAACAGATTGGATTATAAAAACCCTTACAAACTGTATGTCACCAATCGCAACACTGTAAGCAGTATTTTCAGTCACATCAAGAGATTGAACGAGCAAGTGGTCAGTTTATATTTTTATTACAAAAATATTTAAAATAAAAATAAAGCTATAATTCCCTATCTTTATTTAGTATATTGAAGTAGCTGTTTACGATCGAAAAAACCCGTTACCTTGGTTCAGGTCACACAACACATCCAAAAAAATACCGTTGTGTGACAGCAAGATCATTGAAAGTGGTAAAAGAGTGTATTTATAACCTATTGTAATGTTCCAGTGACATACAATACAAATGAAACCTATCACCTACTAAAAGTACCACTATACTCATTTTACATGTAAAACCTTCATAGATGCATTTTATCATTAATTTTGGTCAGTCTTGTGAGAACAATGGAAAATTTCATATACAAACTCTTGACTTATGATTTATATAAACTTTTCCTCACATACAACACCCTTTGTCTTAGGAGTGTAGCAAAAGGTTTCAAAATCCATAGCTCAACACAACATCTTGCACCATTGGGCAGCAAGAGGCAGCATGGCTGAGAACACTGGAAAATTTTGTAAACAAACTCTTGGCTTATGATTTATATAAACTTTTCCTCACATACAACACCCTTTATCTTAGGATTGTAGCAAAAAGGTTTCGGAATCCATAATTCATTACTCAACATAACATCCTGCATCATCAGTCAGCGAGAGGCAGCGGGGCCGAGTGGTTAGGGCACCAGACTTGAAATCCGGAGGTCTTGGATTCAAGTCCGCTCTGACCACTAAGCTGGAGTTATTTCTCGGTAGACCCTAGTTCAACTCCTCGGTCATGCTCGTAAATAACCAACTGGTCTGCCTGCCGCCAGTTGAGATTTTTAAGCCTGTTACGTTTAGTAGGTATATTTGTTTTTTTAGATCAAGTGGCAGGCCAGTGAACTAGCTAGGTGTAGCTAGGTGCATTGACTACTTAAAACAACAGGGTTTTTTTTTGGTAAAACAGCCTCTCAAATACATTCTTGCAAAAGATTTACTCTAACCTGTAGACCCGTTTTATAGTACAAAATAGTCTCTTAGGGTTTTATTGTACAAAAATAATAATCCGTATTAACAAGTTAAAGGAGTTTCCATTTCCCTAACATTTACCGCACTATCCTAGAGAATATCCACACATTTTCGCGCAGCTATTTTCTCTCGCATATTTTTTTTCGCGTCACCTTGATGAACTAAGCGAAAGAGAAACTATTCGTTGTCTAATTTAACGCAACACTGCGATACTAGGGATAAATAACATGTGAGCAGCAAGGATGGGGTCTGTAGCACTTTGTCCCTACGTAGTACTAGAATGAAATTATACACAAGCCAAGGAACACTGACTCGTGAACTATTTGAAGTTCTTGTACTTCTGGAACAAGCAGTAGAGCATTCTTAATGTTGACTTGAGGTCCTTTTGAACTACATCTGGGGAGAGATTTACAAAATTAATGTCAATGATAGAACTAAGTAAAAACTGCTACGAATGTAGTCGAGGATGGGATGAAGAGAAAGTGGAAGAAAGAGGATAGAAGAGAGATGAGGGGAGGGAGGGGAGGGGAGACACCACAACCCCCAACCCATTCCCCCCTCGGGCCCTTCATTCTCACCCAGTTCCTTCTCGGCCTTTCAGCCGCAGTCAGACACTTCCAGCCGGAGCCTGTTCACAGGCTACTTCGAATGAACACAGCAAAATGGCTTTGAAGCAATGTTGTATAATTGTGTAACTTTCACGACCTTTCCAGTAATGATGACACAAATCTTGAAAACTTGGCGGCTGTTTCTTTCGAGATGAATGTGCATCAATCAATTGTGTTTGACGAAAAATCTTAACGCGTTACTATTAAATTATCGTGTGATTGTGTGATGAACCATTTTTCACCACACGACACAGGTTAGCAGTGTTCGTCAAGACCGTCCACCCCAGAGCAATCTGTGTCTTTTACAAGTATGTCATGGTTTCGACCCGTGAAGAGAACAAACATTTCTTGACTCTTAGTAGCCTCCTTTATATGTGTGTGCACAAGTCCTTTGGGCTAGTCACGCAACCTTTCCCTTACCCATGAGAGCGTGACGACTAGAATGTCTGAGTAGGAGGTTAGACGGTAACCGGTCGTTTCGCCCGATGTCAGATCGCCCCGGACTATAAGTCTGTTCGCCCGGAATGAAAGTTCAAAGAAGGATGTCTTCCCTCTTCTAACTAAACGAGCGTAAAAGACAACATTGTGGGTATCATGAAACAAAACTACCCAAAACATGTTTATTTCTCGTGGTTAATGCGCTCGTCTCTGGATCGAACGGTCCGGGTTCGAGCCCTGGCCGGGAACATAACGTTGTGTTCTTGGGCAAGACACTTAACTCTCACGGTGCCTCTCTCCACCCAGGTGCATAAATGGGTACCGGTGAAATTAATACTGGCGGTAACCCTGCGATGGACTAGCATCCCATCCAGGGGGGAGGAGAAATACTCCTTGTCGCTTCATGCTACAGAAACCGGGATAAGCTCCGGCCTGATGGGCCACTTGGCTCGTATGCAGACTTAACTTTACCTAATCCAATGACCACGGAGCTAACAGTTCGACGAACCGACTTACAGTCCGGGAGAACTGGCTTGCGGGCGAAATGACCGCAATTCAGTTAGACATGCCCCTGAGCAGAAAACAACTTTAACAGATCGAGCTAACATGTTGGTAAGAGAGGACATCATTTCTCAAGGGTAATATCAACCGTACGATCGCAAAGTGTTTTCATCTACAATGCATGGATATATGCGAGAGTTGCATTATTGTTGGAAAGAATTTCCTTACCTTCTGGTTTAGCGTAAAACTTCATTCCACTGTCTCTCATGAGATCGATAGCCAAGGCTACATTATGAAGCTGTTCATTGTAAAGAAAGAACATTACAACTGTCAAGCGCTTCTTCAAATCACTTCACAAGACGGATTATATACTAGCAACGTTTTTCGGAGAGCTTCAAGATTGTGGGAATGTGTCTGAAGACGTATCCTCAGCGTTCTAATTGATGGCATAAGCCAGGCAAAAATAAAAAAAAACGTCCCAGCATCAACTTGACAATATGGGTTTGATTTTAAATCAAGTTGTTGAGGCTTGTTTTCATTGGCGAAATGAATGAAACGCACATGGAAGTCCCTGTTGATAGACCTTTGTTTACACGATTGGTTCAGAAAAGGCGAAGGCGCATACCGTTTAGTTGGTTCACCAACACGCAAAGCTAAGTTAAAGATTGCCTGCCCAGTAGCTCTTCTCTTCTCTTGACGCTTCTTGCTCAAAGCGATCGATCAATGGCTCTCTCCGTATTGGGGATATTAGAGAACTTAAGCAATGACGACCGCCACCCCGGGGACAAACCCTACCAAAAATGAATTTATATTTTACATTCAAATTTCTCAATTGCCTAGATCTTCACCTGCGTAGCTGGCGGGATTTCGCGCCCGAGTGCTTTTGTTTTGAAGCAGCGAAACGGAGAAGTCGCGAGGGGATTGGCGAGGAGTGGAGCTGAACTTGCGGCTTCGTCGCTCGCAAATTTCCTCGCGGGCAAATATCGCTTTCTCGCAGATCCTGCCAGCTACGCAGGCTATCTAGATCTGTTCAGTGCGCCTATTGGTCTCAGAACTTGCTCAAGCTAAATATGTAATGCCAGCGTTCCATTCCAAATAAAAGTACGAAGAATTAGCCGCCGTCGCTGTCGTTCTGCAAAATATGCAGAACTTAGTCATTTCATGTTGTTGTTTTGCAGAGTACGGCAAAAAAATGTACAAAGATTTATAACGCACGTGCACATCCATTATTCTACTCACAAGGAGGCTGGCAACAGTTTCCAGCACTTTTCTAACAGCTATACTTTGAAGGATGAATGCCGGCTACCACTGTTTAACAAGTGATGCTACAATAATGGTATCATACAAATGCCCAATCATTGGTAAACAAGTTGCGTTCATCCTTTATATGCATAGCAACAATATGACCTGCTAAAAACACCCTTAATTTTAGTTTTAAGCGCTTGTAACTAAAAAACGAGCTTGGTGACTCCCATTTTTTATCCTCGAATTATGATAAGCATGGTAAGATGCAACTTTTTGCCAAGTTTAAAAAGATTCTGTAGTGTGGGTTCAGAGCCACCTTAAATTTTCGAAAATTTAAGGACCTTTTGAGGCTGAACATCCTAAGAGGGACCCCTGAAAGGTACCACGAGCACCTGTGTCCCTTTTATATGGGAGTCCCCCCCCCCGGGGGAGGGGCTAGCCCTCCCTCATAGCAAAGTGGGTGATTTAGTTATGGTAAACTGCGTTCATTGTGGTTACGCTTGAGTCGTCCTGTCCTGTGTCCACCAGACTGCTGGCAGTCTGTGTTTCTCTCGAAATCAGGCAGGGATTTATCACTACGAGACGAGATATTTCAAAACTTTTGTGCGCTCTTGTGCACGGATAAACACTAGTCTGACCCTAGGAGAAAAGATCGGCTGCCAGCAGTCTGTGTGTACGATATTTAGAGAGCAAGCCACATCAGCCTTAGCTAGTTTTCATGCAGGTCCTCTATCCTGGTTGAAATGGAATTTGGAGTGTCGGTTTTTGTGGAGGAAGGAAAACCGGAGAACCCGGAGAAAAACTCTCGCAGCAAGGCGAGAACTAACAACAAACTCAACCCACAGATGGTACCGGGCCGGAATCGAACCCAGGCCACACTGGTGGGAGGTGAGCACTTTCACCACTGCGCTATCCCTGCCACACCTGTGTCCTTAACCCTGGGAAGCCATTGTATTTTGATCATAATTTTATCACTGGTTAATCACACACACAATTGAACGTTACCTACCTTTTGTTCTTTGTTGGAAGGTGTGATGTAAAACTGGTACAGAGGAACAAAGAAGCCTTCAAGGAGACCCAGCAAGAAAATAAGATAAACACCATCATGAAACTGCAGAGAAAATCAGAAATGAAAAAATCTATCATTTTCGAGATTGTCATTTCATTCTGTTACAAATCAAGCTTTAGAAATCACATTTAGAGTGGTTTTCACTTGGGTGTCGAAAGTAATTCACATTTCAATGCTTTGATTTTGCATTACTACGCAATGTAATTGGTTGAAAAAACTCACGCCAGTTTGTCATCAAATCAGAAGTAAAACAAGAACCAACTGTGACTCGCTCGCACACGTTTTCCGCACTTATATTTGTGTCGAGTTTTGACTGGTTCACTGGATTGTCTGCGTTCTTTGTGACTGGCCAGAGTGAATACTTTGTTTTAAGGTAAAGTATTACGACCGCTCCACTTGTACATGGAAATAATTATACATATTAGATATACATACCTGTGAATCGACGTCAGCAACATCCAGACTCAGTTTACTCAGGTGCTTGTTGACAAAGCTCTGCAGCGACTGTCAAAAGAAGCAAAACTTTTATTATGTATTGTATTGGTCAAAAACAGATCCATTAACTTCAATGGTCAATTCTCTCTATGACACACGCCTGCAGGGAATCATGGTAGTTGTATTCATCAGGACAAAATATCCAGTCCAAGATGATGAATACAACTACCATGATTCCCTGCAGGTGCATCTCATTGAGGTACCTGTAATTGGCCATTAACGTCCCAAAGATGCTTTCTTGATTTTGACACCTATCCTACTGGAATTTCTAACTTAACTTCATACAAATATTCTTTCCTTGGTGTATGGTACCCTCTTTCCCACTGGTCATTTCCAAAACTCTCCTTGGGGAAGGTACAAGTACATGTATAGGTATCGTGTGGAAATACACATTACTTCAGGTTACAAAAAAAGAACACAGCTAGATGTTAACCTACTTTCTCTGTTTTCAACATAACCTAATGATACATAAAGATTTTGTTCTTGCAAAATAAGCATAACCCTTTTTAATACCTCATATCCAGAAATAAATTATCCTCTCTAGTCCTTATAAATGTATGTTAAATGTAGCAGCAGTGGATAAAAGTTGTTAAAATGTCAAGAAATTTATTCTGGATGATCATATCCTGAATTCTCATAACATTTCCAATGAGGAACTTTTGGTATTAGAAGGAGACATTTTATACTGATTCATGGTTGCCACAGACATCACTTTTCAAAATACCCTGACTTTTCGCTGATCAAAATTAAATTTCCCTGACCAAATAAATACAAAATGCCAGATCTAGCAGCAACTTCTGGCCTCAACACACAGGCATCCTTTACACTCGATCTGACTGACAAGTTTTCAAAAAAATTTTCCTTCTATTTCATTAAGTAAAAATGTCGCTTAGAACACGGTGACCTGAGGTGTTCCTTCCAGCCTTCAATGGTATTAAACCAGCTGTGTTAAATTATCTTGACGTTTCTTCAAATTGTCAATTTTCCCTGACTCAAAATGAAATTTCGTGAATATTTCCTGACCTTTTTTTCCCTGACCATTTCCTGAACTGTAGCAACCCAGTGATTACTGTAGGAGCTTAAAGGGTTAACTGTACCTTGAATCACATACATCTCCATTGTGAGAACTACCCTTGTATGAATTCTTGCAAAATAAGCTTAGCTGCATCTCGACAAAAAAATCTCTTTTCTGCTGACTAACTATACGTTACAATTACCTTTTTCACAACGTTCAGTTTTTCAGGGGCATTATCAAAAAGTGCATCAAATGCATCTCTCTCTAAAACAAAAAGGAAAGGATAGATGCCATTAACATCAGCAAAGAATGTAAATTGCGTAAATCAGTGATCACAATAAAATAAAATGACTAAAGATGTCTGAAGTATTTTATTCATTTGAAAGTCTGGTATGCAGTTCCATGTACATGTACACTGTAGTCTCAAACTTAGAAAGTTGCAATGCCTATAATATGCATCCATAATCATGGTGAGCTTAGTTTGTCAATGTAGTTTTCCATCAGGGGCAGATCCAGGATTTTTCAAGTGGTGGTGAATGATACCTTTGGGTTGTAGAACTAATGGGACATGCCCCAAAAATGTTTCAACTTGAGAATTGGAACCTAATTTAAAACTGTTACACCACAAATACTAGCAATGCCACAAAGTAGAAATAACAATTGAGGTAACTGCCAAAAGTGTTTCCCTTCATTTCTCCTTAATATTCCCAATCTATTTAACTTTTTTTATTTTTTGATTCTTCAAAAGGGGTGACTAGCCACCCAATCCACCACCCCCACCCCCCTCTAAATCTGACCCTGTCTATGCCATTTCGGAATAAGCTATCTTAAGTCTGTTGTCAACGTTGGTTTTGGAAAAAAGCTTGCTTTTGCTGCCATGTCAAGTTCCCTCCTGTGACCTGCTAGTGTATTTTCTATGTGAAAATGGTGAAAGACAAGTGGATATTGTGGTCAATTCCCCCTTGCAAGGAAATTCAAACAGGAATTTAGTAAAAGATCTACTTCTCTTGTTTCTCCATTTCTGCACAGAAAATACTGAACATTGTACAACTGAACCTTAGTCCTACATGCAAATTTTATATATCGCTAGCTAGAGCTTTGGTCCACACGATGACATAATTATTGTGAAATCAGCCAGCTTTAATAATTAGTAATAAAGTGATTATTATAGTAATTGGACCTGCTGTCATACAATTCTGGGAGTAATCATAACAATTACAATTTCCTCAAATGTGATTGGTGCATAAACTGCTGTATTTTGCTCTAATTAATCTGCAAAGTTGTAATCGGACAGTGTAATCGGACACCTGTAATCAGACAGTTACATGAGCCAATCATTTTAAGTCCTCTCCACTAAATCCACCAATCACAACATTGATTACAATCACAATAGTAACCACTGACTGAGACTGACTTTGTAAAATTGTGGAGGTTTAGTCTCTGGTGACTGTTTTGAAAGAGACTTTACAGCCATTTTGCAAGCTGTTCTCCATATTTTATAATTATGATATTTAAAATGACAATAAAAAGCTCTTTATCAAATGAAACTTGTAATTGTTATGATTAATTGGTAACAGGACATCGTGTCGTCCAATTCAGTCTGTAATCATACTCGTGATTAACAAATCGGACCCCCGCTTTGCAGTCGTTCGATTTTGTTAATCACTCATATGATTACAGACCGAATTGGACTCCACTCAGTCCTATTACCATTATTAATCATGCAAGAAATTCCAAAATCGGATGAGCGAAGTGTCAGGCTGATTTTAAATTATGAGCACGATTACTCCCTGAATTGTACAACACGAGGTCCAATTACTAATTAATCATATCTATAACAAATTTCTGAATTTTAAATGACTGTCTTTTAAGAACTTCTTTTCAGCGAAAACATCTATAGCACTTTTGATAAGTTTTAAAAAATTTAGAAAACATTGCTATGGAAGCCACTAAAAGCAAGTGTAATTGAGGTGCGAATCATGTGGGTATCCAATTACAGATATCCAATCACAAAAAGTTCAAATTGGATACCTGTAATTGGAGACCCAAGTGATCACGCACCGAGTACGTGACAAATAGGTGCGTGGAGAACCAATCTCGATCGAGAATTTTGTTATATAGATATGATTATGCCTGATAGCATCTTATAATATACAAAGTTTGACAAGGAATCATTATTGGGAGCATTGAAGTATTAAACACTTACTGAAACATTGATTTTCTTACCTGGCTTCCCATTTTGTGCACTGAAAAAACAAAAATTAAAAACAGTCAGCAAATATTTTGACATAAGGCCTGTAAGTTATGATCATTTTTTTCCTATTCTTTGATAATCTAATTTTCCTTTATGTTGCTTAATTAATTAACACATCAGGTTTTGAGCCATAGAATTAGATAGCTAATATCTTTGGATAAGTACTGAATACAACTGAGCATAAAATAATATTAAAAAGAAAAAAAAAAACCAAATGGACTTGTGTCAGGAAAAAAAAAGGGGGGGGGGCAATACCTATCAAATTTTTATGCTCTACCTAAAGGTCCAAACCCTAACCTTTTTATATACATATAATGTCTACTGTAAAAATATTGCACCCCTTTTCTAACTTGCACATTGAGAAACTGCATTAATTAATTTACATTAGAAGATGGATCTGCTACTACATGTGTGCGAGATATTTTGAAAGGCCCTTTTCTGTAAACAATGTACTTGAACTCACACAAAGATAACCAACTCAAGGCTTATTTAAGGTACCCATTTCAGGCTGATCCTCCCTTTATGATCCACGATAGGAACTAAATTGTACCCATCCTGAGGCTTTGGATACATAAAATTATATTATACATATTACATTATTTGAGAAAAACGAGCAGGGTTAATTATTGCATAACCCTCCCCCCTAACCTTAGTAGAAATAAGGGTACCTCTTTGCCTTATCCTGCCCCCCTTTTGAGTAAAGCATGTGTGTGTCAAGAAGGGGGGGGGGGCAGAGATAGCCTCAATAGCTCTACTCTAGATCTTCTACTCTCCATTCCGCATGCATAGACTTACTCCTCTCCTTCATTTGCTGCTGTTATTTCCTCGACAACCTTCATAGGTAACAGGATTCCACCCTTTTTCTGCACCACAACCATGTTTATTGTGACACCGCTAGGCAGCTTACGTGGACACTCAAAATGATGTGCCAGGGCAACCAACAGATGTAGTATGGCTACGATATCTTTGTTATGAATAGCTGGTGGAAATTGAAAACACAAGATTAACAGGCTTGCCATCGAACCATTTAATAAATGAATTATATTATGTTTTTTTTATTCACTTGCAAGGTACAGTAGCCAAAAACGATTAAGTGCATGATGACCCATATTAAACTGAACCAACAGACAGGGTCCGAAATTGCGCTTTCCCGGTCGCCAATAACTGTGATTTTCAGCCAAATCGATTAAAATAAAATTCAAAGCCACCCATCAATTATTGGTCACTTACTTTTTACCTTTCCACTGCTTTTGTATAAAAGTATAAAACTGATTTTCCTGTTATTGTAAGTCTACCACAACATTTCATAGCTACGATCAGTGCGAAGCTACGCCGCCATGTTTTTCAGCAGTTTTCCATAACATACGTATTGCAGGCGCAACAGGCCCCATGCGTTCTTTCAACATGAATATTTATCCAGGCGATATGTTGTCCAAAGATGCTCTGAAATCTTTCTGTAATTTATTACAAAGGGGAGATGGAACATCCGTGAAGAAATTAGTTGAAGATTTAGATATTCTCTGGGCGTCAAAAGGTGGAAATGTAGATCTGTCAAAGTAGTCAAAAGATGACGTGAGCACTGGTTTGATTCCTGATGATCGATTCAAATCTGATTTTGCCGGCAGCCTGTGGTGACCAAAAATTTTGGTTTATGTTTTGCTGTGAAGGAAAAATTTTATTCCATATGGCAACTAAAAAAAAAAAAATTCAGTCGCCAGTTGGTGCCTGCCTGAAAAAGTTAATTTCGGACCCTGCACAGGATTTCCAGTATAATGGTGATGACACAGGCACGTTATTTTAGCATGGCAGACAAAAGAAATTTTCATTAACACGGTAGCAGTGTGTCACGATGCACACATAATTAAAATTTCCTATTTGTTCCAGATAAACCATGATCAGTTAAACAAAGCAGCGTGTCAAAGGATGCAAAAACAAAAGCCGTGTCATGCCGTGTTTTATTATATGGAGAAGAGTGTTTTACTGGGAACTAAACCACTCGTAGATTCCATACGCCACTTCATCCGGGACCCGAGTGGCATATTTTCCGTATGTCACCTTTGTGAGTATCGTATCGTTCAATGACCTCAGGATTCCTGTCTTTTGCTTTTGTTGAATTGGTTTCTCCATATAATAAAAAGAACATTACACGTTGGCTTGAAGATATGAATTTTATGTTTTCGTGGCAAGAACAATATCTCACGAGTGAGGGAAGCGAACGAGTGAGATATTGTTCTTGCCACTCGAACATAAAATTCATATCTTCTCGCCACCGTGTACTATCCTCTATATAATGCACTCTGGTGTGCGAAATATCACATTTGTGCTGTGTTAAATAATATTAATAACAGAGATCAGAGCAACCATCTGTAAGAGTTTCTTACGGTTGATCCGATCCAAATTTTTGTCACAATGGTGTCAAATTGCACTACCTGCCCATGTTCCCTACTCTCCCCCCTCCAATCACTCTTTAGGATCAGAAGAGTCCAACATCAGCAAAATTGTTACTTATCTACTCTATACATGTGTAAGTTGGTAAAGTCTGCATACGAAGCAAGTGGCCCGTCAGGCTGGAGCTTATCCTGGTTTCTGTAGCATGAAGTGCTTAGGAATATTTCTACTCCCCCTGGATGGGATGCTAGTCCATCGCAGGGTTACCCCCAGCATTAAGTTCACCGGTACCCATTTATGCACCTGGGTGGAGAGGCACTGTGAGAGTAAAGTGTCTTGCCTAAGAACACAATGCAATGTCCTCAGCCAGAACTCAAACCCAGACCGCTTGATCTGGAGACGAGCACACTTTCCATGAGGCCACTGCACCTCCCAAAACTACCATTAAAAATAATTTTATAACTTACAATAATTTCCTGGTAAACTTTGTAACATGTCATGTGCAGCAAATGTAAGTGACAACAATTCAACTAAACAAGTTGAACTTACTATTTGCCGTCCATTTTGCTCGTTGCTGAGGAATCCCTAGGAGCTTGTTTACATGTTCAAGTAAAACAGACAACTTGGCTTTCTGTTGAAATGAGAGCTCTATTAATTTAAACAACAGCATAACAATTCGGCCAGAGACATGAGCAGTCCCAACTTCATTTAATAGTAACATGTTTATTTTAAGTTATTTTTGCTGTAAATGTATGTCACTTGAGACAACGCTCTACAAGCACCAACTCTCAAAAGTTAACTCCCTAACATCTACTAATATGGGATTCTGAGTCAGTCGTGAAACTCTGACCTATGATTTCTGTAAAATGCTGGAAACCAGTATAAACCTGTAGATCTCCACCTGACAGTGGAACACGTTGGAACATGTACAAAGTTGCGCTCGTACAGCATGTGGTACATAGAGCAACCAACTCTCAGCTACCAGGGTTATCACTAAGCCCCAGCGCAGAAAGAGATGATCACCAGCTGGATTTTGGTGGGCGATCACTTGGTAAAGGACAACGAACGGTTTTTAGGTTATGCATTTGATATCGAAACCACATCAAACTGTGTAAATGAAAAGTTTGGAATAAATTCCCGACTACCCTAAGTATCGGTGCCACTAACATGAGTAAAGTAATTGATTAAATAACATCTTGTCTTGAGCACTTGTTTAGTGTGATCTCTTTCTGTGTACTGTGTCTGCCACCTTGTAAACATGAAGTTTTGTAGCCCTGCATTCAGGGGGTTGCAAATGACTGGAGACGAAAATTTTGTTCCAGGTCTCTCACAAAACTAGTGAGACAATCTCAGATAGTGCAGAGTGCAATTGATAGCTCTGGTACGGTAGTCCCATAAGTACTCACCCCTGCTCGCTTCACTTCCGGTTTGTGTCTACCTTGGTAGTCTGCTACTGCTTTTCCCCTTTGCAGTGTGTATGTTTAAGGTGGTATTTTCATTTAAGGTCCAAAAATTACGCACAAATTAATTACTACTGGTGTTTTACGTTGGTTTTCGTTCATTTTAAATTCAATAATACGCTGAAGAAGCAAACGTGACAATTTCTCCAAAACATATGCAATATGTCCTTGTTTTTTGGAGATAAATGAAAGAAAGTTAACTATCTGAT